ACGTAAAATTGTATAATTGAGTTTAGTAAAGAGAGAGGGAGAGAGAAGTATAAATTATAACTGAGTTTTTGTTATTTGTAAATTATAGAAGTGAATGATTTAGTAAAGAGAAAGAAACATAATAAATCATTATGTATGGTGTTGATATATATATTTTTTTCACGAGCAATCAAGAAATTATTTTTGTAAATTTTTTTTTTGAAAAGATTATATATATATATATATGTGTGTGTGTGTGTGTGTGTGTGTACACACACAAATGGTGATTGATTTAATTGAATCAGTGCCGTGGCTTCACATGGTTAGTAGTATCGTACAAATACTATATAAGCTTATAAATGGTTGAGCCATCCAAATCAATTTAATCACACTAAATCAGCTCATTGTCTACGTTTGATGATTAGACCTTCCACTTGACTAAAATCGGCTAATAAGTGCAATGGTGTAATTTTTAACGTAGAATTTGAATTTTGTCACATTCGACACGTAATGCAAGATAATTTTAAAATGTGATGCAAATTATGCCATGAATTATTGTAGCATATACCGATAATAATGATTTAAACGTGTTGGATCAAAACAAAGCAAGGATTAGATCGATGGCCAGCTATGTTTATGTCAATCAAAACTTAGCCATCTTAAATCAATTTTCTATCTTTGGTTCTTCGTACATCTTCAAAATTTTCCTATATATGTCCAATTAACGTGATGTTACAATCTTTGTATTTATTTTCATCTTGTTTGTACATTACAGATTTACCTTTGGGAAAAGTAGATTTGATGAGATATAAACAATATATATAAGATGGTAGTGATCAGAATAAGTGAAAATAGCTAAGAGGCTAAGACCTTGACATTGTGTCGTTATATAATATAGATATACTGTAGTTGCCTTATATATGAAGGAACATCCAACAAATTGATTTGTGATAAGCTTGTCTCGACGTGCATGCATGGTTGTTGTTCTATGATAAACTAGTGTTACAGTAGTGTAACATGTGTATGAAATCAAGACTTTTAATTACGGTCATCATTTGGGTTGACGTGGAGCCATCATTAGAGTAACAACTAAGTTCAGTAACCACCCTCATTTGGACACCATAGGAGTTAGGAGAGAACAATTAATTTATAATGTTGATGTATATATACTATATAGTAAATAAAGCTAAAGAAGCTAAATGATCAAGATTTTCTTGACTTTTTTTTGATGAAATGAAGATCTTTGCACTACAATCAACGAATCAGACGGTGCCTAGCCAGCTACCACTACCAGCTAATTGCATGTGCCCTACTAGGGTTCAAATCATTCCAATCGTGGCCTTATCAAACCAACAATCTTAGTGAGGGATGGTCCAAGAGAGGACAATGTTGTCAATGTAATATAGAAAGCTCAATATCTTCTTTTTTTCTTTTTCTTTTTGGAATTTCATGCTCAATAGCATTTATGATCAAGATTTTCTTGATTTTGTTTTGACATTTTTTGGAGAAAGAGGTTGATCTTTGATGTACAATCCAAACAAAAGACAAACCAATGTGATTCACACACTAGGAATGCCATCAATAATATGGTAAAAAAAGGCCGCCCACTACCTACCTCACTCCGCCCTGTTTATACTAATTACAGGGGAGATAAATGATTTTGGAACGGAAATAGGGTTATGATTGACAACTCACATGACTATGAGGCGTGAATGGAAAAATATTATCCCCCACTTCGTTTATAGTGATAAATTATAATTTTGTACTTATACTTTGTTTTATAGTCAATAATATGGGATATATATTAAACAAATCCTAATTTATTTTATTCCAATCACTAAATATCATTTTGTATTATTCTTATTTGAGAAGTATTAATTTGATGTTTTTACAATAATATTAAGTCTAAAGTTTCAATTGGGAAGGTAAAGTTTTTTTTTTTTTAATCCGTATAGAAGAAAAAGAATTATTACCATAGTTAATTTTTTTTTTAGACTCATAATACAATTCCGAAAGTACTCTACAAAATCCATCTCCGCCCCAACCCACCACGTAGGGACGAGGGTAACTATACTAAACGGCGATATGAATGGAGATGGCGTTCTCCGCCCCCAAATCGTCCCGTTTCCATCGCGAATAATCAGATTAATATTTAATACATGAGTCCTTCGATTTTGCAGCATAACTAGGTCCTCATGCATCCATGACTCTCCAAGCCCATCCCTGTTATAAAAAATGAATGATATTTGAGCTAGACTTAAAACACTAGGATTATATTTTTATAATTTAAAACATATGTACAAGATAAAAAAAAATTTTCATTAGTATTTTAAATCTAACTTATGTAGAGTAGCATTGTTCTTTTCTTACTCAACCTCGGGGGCAACATGGAGGTGTGTGACTATAGTCACCTTTTTAATGATTCCCATATTTTCTCTCTCTTTCTCTGAATTTTCCCACTAAACTCAAATAAGTGGTTGTTACGTTCAAAATTCTATCCACACATCCCCGTAAAAGTGCGGGTGTCATATCCATGACATCACAAACATGGGTGGAGTGACTGATTTCACATTTTCAATGCTTCCAATACTCTCTCTCTCTCTCTCACACACAATTTCCACACTTCTTGCGAGGTCACAATAAATCACCTCATCCTAGCACCAAGCGTCTTTGCTTGGCCTAAACCTCGTTAACTTGTGTACAATTTCTTATATTTTAGCGGCAGATTGACTTTCATATCACCTATCATTATTTGTCTCGCATTGAAAAAATGCTTAACTTTCAAATCAGTTATCATTATCTGTTTTATACTGTAAAAATGATTGACTTTCATACCATCTATCATTTCTCATCTTATGCTGTAAAAATATTATTCGCTTTACACTCTCTATACACTCACGATTTTTAAAATTCAAATTCCCTTACAAGTGGCAGCAACTTTTTTGACATAAGTTACACAAACAAAGAGACTAATCTAAATATCGACCAATTTGAGATACAAGCCAAACATGCACACTAGACTAAATAGCACGACAATGAAGATATGAATAGGTGCCTCATCTTTTAAATTAATACGGAGTATTTTTTGTAGCGTTCAAAATGTGAAATATAAAAATTTGTAATTGGCGAATTTCGTTGTCAAAACAAGTCCACTCAAGTTATAATTTTTAGTTCAAATTTCAAGTTTGAGATCGGAAGCGGAATTGAAGAGTTATTTGTTATCAATAACTTAATGACTTTGAAAAAGGTAAGCATAACACTTTAGGAAGCTTAGTTAGAAGGTAAGGACACTTGCATGCATTGCATGATTTAAAAAATTGAGCGTTGCCAAATTTTTCTAAGAATAAAAGCCTTCTGTTCAAGTCTGGCTAACTTGAACCTGTTCAAGAGCAGCTGACTCGGTTCAAGTTTCAAAAGCTTGTTTTTAAAAAAATTCACTGGTCAACTTGAACTGGTTCAAGTCTTTCAACAGTTTTTGGTAACTTTGTTTCCTACTCTATTTCAACTTTCTATTTTTTTATAGACTTACCTTAATGGTTATGCACAAAATTAACTTATTTTTCAAGTACAATTAGAATTTCTAAAGTATATAAAAATTTATTTTTCTCACTTAGGTTGATACAGCTTTTTTGCATTAAAATTTTGATTATCATTGATAGTCTTTTGTGAGATTCACACACAAGACTATTGAAGATGCAGACTATTGACACAAAAGACTATTGAAGATGCAGACTATTGACACAAAAGACTATTGAAGATTGCATCTATATTGATTAAGCAGATCCTACACACACAAAAGACTATTGAAGATGCAGACTATTGACACAAAAGACTATTGAAGATGCAGACTATTGAAGATTGCATCTATATTGATTACGCAGATCCTATTCCTTTTACAACAAATTCAGATTTGAAGAAGAAAATTTTCCGATCACACTTTGAAGGGATCATGGAACTTACGAGTGTTGTTGATCTTCCAGCAATCCTTCTACAAGGTTTGAGGCATAACTCTGAAGTCGAGAGTTATTGGACTGGAAGTTGCAAAGTCAATGCGTTCAGCGGATTGCGTCTTGGTAGAGTGAAGGAGTGTGAGGTTGAGTCAAAGTTCGATATACTTTGTTTCATACATAGTGGATCGTTTTAGGGACAGCGCAAAAGTCCTCGACATTTTTCAATTGATTTCCTTGCTAAAATCCGGTATCACTCTAACTTTACTTATTATTTTACTGTATGATTGTTAATTAACCGGTAAATTTACTTGACTAATTTTTTAATCCCTCTAAAATCGTTTTTAAGACTTCACTTTCCATAACCTGTTCCATTGCACAACTTACACAAAAAAAAAAAATCATACACTTCAGAATTTTTCCAAAAAAAAAAAACACTCTTAATACGCTTCACATTTTGATAGATAATTTTATCATTTCATTTATATGTTAAAAATATCAAGCTAGTGGAGTGTATGTACGCATACAAAAACAAAAAGGAGAATTAAAAGAAAAACCTAATTGACCAACCTTCAATTATCGAGCCCAAATAATGGCCATGCCTCGGCCACATGCTAGTTGTGTTTTTGTTTACATTGTTGTTTCTGCTTTGCAGCTAAGCTGGTTGTTGGCATTTGGCTGCTTTGTACAGGTTTTTTTTTGTCTAAATAAATAAATGAATCTATTGACTCAGATGTCCTCCATCTAATTTCAAATTCTCTCTTTCAGACATTTTCCTCCTTGGGATTTGGGGAGGTTAGGTGTTCAACCCCGTTAGAAACAATATTGTGTTCGTGTGTGTGTTTGTTTGAATTTTTGATAAAATAACAAAACAGTAAATCATATGAATTCTTCTATTGACATGTTATCTATCTTTTTTTACTAACTCTACTCACCTATCTTTGTTCTTTCCTTTTGCCTAGAGGTCAATGTAATGGTGTAAAATTAAAATATAACAAGCTAGTCTAATTATGTGATATATTAATTTGAAGTAACAGTGCTATATCTCAGAAATAAATAGTGGTACGTAAATATGGTGAAACACAGTAGATTGCAAGCATATATACAAAAATGAAGTGAGTCCTCCAGATTAGTGATAATACATACAATTAATACCAAAAAAAAACTTCTAACATAACCAGTGATAACACTTCCTCTATATAGTCCAGCAATTAGGTTTCTCTTATCAAACCCTAAACTAAGCTCATGCCAGAAACAGACATGCAGCTCTTGTTTCTCTCCCTCCTCCTCCTGATAACTCTCTGCATCGCCCTTTCTCTTCGCATCCTTTCCCCTAAACCCATACAATCCGGTGCCCGGAAAAACCTCCCACCGGGGAAACTAGGTTGGCCGGTTCTTGGCGAAACCCTAGAATTCCTTTCCACGGGCCGGAAAGGGACCCCGGAAAAGTTCATCAAAGATAGAACCCATAAGTACTCACCAGACATCTTCAAAACTTCATTACTTGGTGAACCAACCATGGTTCTCTGTGGCCCTAGCGGGAACAAGTTCTTGTTCTCGAACGAGAATAAGCTTGTCTCGGCTTGGTGGCCTCGTTCTGTGGAGAAGATCTTCCCTTCTTCTCTCCAAACTTCCACTAAGAATGAATCCATGAAAATGAGAAAATTGCTTCCCGGGTTTTTGAAACCAGAAGCATTGCAAAACTATGTGGGAATCATGGATTCAATAGCTAAGAAACAACTAGAAACCAGCTGGGACTTCAAAAAAGAAGTTGAAGTTTTCCCACTTGCCAAACACTACACTTTTGCAGTAGCGTGTAGATTGTTCCTAAGCATTGAAGACCCCAAACACATTGCAAAATTCTCTGACCCTTTTCATGTGTTGGCTGCTGGGGTCATATCATTGCCTATAAACTTCCCGGGGACAGCTTTCAACCGCGCAATCAAGGCCGCAGAGATGATAAGGAAGGAGCTATTAGGAATAATCAAGCAGAGAAAGAGTGATTTGACGGAGAAGAAGTCGTCGGTGAGACATGATATACTGTCCCATATGCTTACTACGACTGACGAAAATGGGCAGTTCATGAATGAGATGGACATTGCTGATAAAATACTTGGCTTGCTTATAGGTGGCCATGACACTGCAAGTGCTGCAATCACTTTCATCGTGAAGTACCTTGCGGAATTACCAGATGTCTACAATGAAGTCCTGAAGGGTATGTGATATTGAAATTAAATTTATTTACCAAAAAAAAATTATATATATTGAAGTTTAATCTTACTAAACATTTACCATTATGCTGTATACATGAATATATTGATATATTAATTTTTCAGTTATTTTTTAATTGTGTAATAGAGCAAATAGGGGTTGCAAGTGAGAAGCAACATGGGGAGTCACTAAGTTGGGGTGACTTGCAGAAGATGAAGTATTCATGGAATGTTGCAAGTGAGGTGATGAGGCTTGCACCACCGCTTCAAGGGAATTTTAGGGAGGCCATAACTGATTTCACCTATGCAGGTTTCTCCATTCCCAAAGGATGGAAGGTATATATTTTCTATCATTTTTTTATTTTTATTTTTGTTTGAAAAGCATAAATATGTTCTATCTACCAAACAAAGTACAGTAGACTTAGTACCTAATTATACAGACATGAAATTAAAAATTCATTCTTATTTACATATAAATTGACGAAATAAATGAAATAGATAGATGAAATTTCAGTTTATTGATTTTTGAGGACCAGTTTTGGACATGGATTTATGAATTTTTATGTGTATAATTTTTATTTATATAATTAATATTTTTTTGGGTAAGGTTAATAAATAATATAGCTAAATGTGTGTGTGTGTGTGTGTGTGTGACAGTGTGTGAATGTACATGAGGACCAGGCGTACCTTGGGGCCAAATGCCATGCACCAACCAAGCAAGAAACAAATTACACAACAGACAATTAAGCTAATCAAACAGCAACTAAGAAGCTCAGAATCACTTTTATTACACTGAAAGACCACTTTTAGTATGCTTTATGCGCTTAGAAAATCTAATAATACTATTGAGGACCATTTGATCCTAGAAAAATAATAAATATTAATGACTATTTTCTGTTTCTCTCTATCTTCATCTATGCGAAAAATGGACTAGTTTAATTTTCATGCTTATGTAGTTGGGAATATCTAGGGTTTGAACACATTTTCACTCTATTAATAGTAATTATTAATTCGAAAGACTAGTGATACTAAATTGTATTCATACTTAATTTGTGTACGTAGTTATATTGGAGCGCGAATTCAACACACAAGAGTCCAGATTACTTCCCCGAACCAGAGAAGTTTGATCCATCGAGGTTTGAAGGAAAAGGACCGATCCCTTACACATATGTTCCTTTTGGAGGAGGGCCTCGAATGTGCCCCGGTAAAGAGTATGCTCGAATGGAAATACTTGCTTTCATGTACAATGTGGTGAGGAAGTTCAGATGGGAAAAGCTACTTCCAGATGAGAATATCATAGTTGATCCCATGCCAATGCCTGCAAAAGGACTTCCTATTCGTCTACATCCCAACTGATCAACCTAGCTAGGCCTCCTTTTTAATTATATACATAGAAATAGACATATCTATGTGTATGTTAATTAAAGGCTAGCTTGTTATTGTGATCTCTCAAAAAGAAAGAGACACAATGGATATATAGATGCTAAATAAAAAGGCAACTGTGTGTAATGTGTGTGTGTGTGTTATAGTTTGGTTTCATGTACGTGATCTCTAAAGGAAGAGAAACATACAACCTATACTTCATGTAATCTGTGTTATAAGTTGAATTCATGTATTCTGAATCAGTGTTATTTTATGGAATCAAAGTTGTTTAATTTCTATCTTGGAAAAGCTTAACATAGTTTAATATGTAGTTTTATTTCTGATAATTGGGTTGATGTGTTAACTTTGATGAGTGAAATTAAGTTGTGTAAAACTTTAAATGAAAAATAATATAATTTGTGAAAGTTGGAAGCATTCGACTATTTTACGTAAGTAGAAGATGACATAGTCACATAAATATAATCTAACGCAAAAAAAAGTGGGATGTTGTTTTACGTAAATAGGAGATGACATAGTCACGTAAATGTAATCTAACATGTCAAAAAATGGGACGTTGGTTTTATAAACATTAGGCGTGTGTGTGTGTGTGTGTGTATAAAGGATCTTTTGCTCACATATTTTATATTAGTAGGGGATCACGTCCTCACATAAATGCAATTTGATATCTCTAAAGTTAAACATTCTATAATGACTCAAATATATATATATATTCACACATGGATAATAATTTCTTGCCCAACGGTGAGCAAAAAATTTATCCACACTAAGCTAGCATGATGATCGTTGGAGATGATTCAAATTAAAAAATGTAGTTAACAATAAAAATGATAGTAATCATATTTGACAATAAATTTTATGCTCACAGAAATCATTACCGTATGAATATATGAATATATATATATATATATAGATGTTATAATTCAGATGTAAATGAGTTTCAGGTGCAGTGTTTCTGAACTAGTTGCCATAACAAGACAGAATCCGAGAAACTCTGCATTCTCTCTAGAGTGGTCCTTTATCGGTTGTTATAATTTGGATTTTTGCAATTATTGCCAAACATTATGCTTATTTTCGACGGAAGAGAAAGAAAATGACATGCATTACTCAATTATTAACGGGATCTGTCCAAACATAATGCTGACCGGATGAAAATTTTTGAAAATAAATTTTTACATCATTTTGTTCCAAGTGTATATATGCTGCACAAATTAAAATTTTCCTATTTTATACTATTAAAGTTTTGAAGTCAGTATATATATATACACTCATTACATAAACAACATATGTACTCACCTAATGCCACTCACGAGCTTCAAACATAAAAAATTGATGACTGCGACATATAGTCATGATAATTCGATCCTCAAATATTGAATGAGGTGAGTTTCAATTTATCTAACTAACAAAGTGCGATCGTCATGTAACCAATTATTAGTAGTGATGGTGAATGAGTGGTCCAGCGTTTAATAAAAATCAGTTCTTTGTAAGGTATTGATGGGTTCATTTGAAATGGGCTTCTTTTTATTTTTATTATTTTTTTTTGAAAATGGTGGTATTCGGTTTATTAAAATAACCCGTAAATAAGAGCACTTAAACCCAAAAGGACTTGCATTTAAAAAATCTCCGGGCTTGCTTCCTAACTGGGCTGGGCTTATTAGTATATAAATTCTGTATTTACTATATATGAAACAGCAGATATAGATTCATAGCCTAATTGAAAGTGGGCTTAACCCAATAGTTGAATGATATAATAGGAGCACTTAAACTCAAAGGCCATGTTTGGTGTGAGTGAATGGAATCAAATAAGGTAGAAATGGAATGTTTTTGTTTTCATTCTTTAGTTTGGTAACTAACTTTAAAGTTGAAATAATGATTTTTGCCCATTCTCCAATAATGGTGATTTCCACTAATTTATTTCACTTTCCAACTAAATAAAAATAATAATAATAAATAAATGAATAAAAAAAACATTTGTTGAAATGTTGGCTACACACACACACATATATATATATGTTTTACAAAAATATGATGTTTTTCTGTGCAACCAAACATGGGAATGAGAATGATCATTCCATTCCCATTCCATTCTTTGAATCATTTCATTCACACTTTATTTCATTCAACCACACCAAACTAGCCCAAAAGGAATTGTATTTAAAAAATCGCGAATGGTTATTTTGCAAGTTTTGGGTTGGGCTATGGGCCTTTATCTTTACTATTTTGGGCTTAGTCTGATTGTTTTCTTTAGGCCCCACACTTCATGTTACTGGGCTTTCCCAGCTTTCCCTCCTAGCCCAAATGGGCCTGTACATTTGTCAATACCCTTTCATTTTTAATATTTTGTGCACTTTATGGTCTGAGATGAAATGCAAATGTCGATCAAACTATTTTTCTAGTTAAGATCTATTTTAAAATTACATTTTGTTTGGAAAAACTCATATTGGAATATATATATATATATATATATATATATATATATATATATCATATGATCGAGTTGGAAGAACATGAACAGCTAGTAGGACAGTGTGATGTTTGATTTTCGTGTTTGGAAATTGGCTGTGGATTAATGATCACCACAAACTTGGTATTAGGGTGTCAAATATGATTTTTTTTCTATATGGACATACTCGCTCAGGGATATCGACGTTCTACCAACTAGACCATTGGTAATGCCGTAGTAACATTATATATTGATGATTGATCGTTTTCACCTAATTAAGATACATGTTACCTGAAATTTGGATCGACTTGTGAAGAGGACATTTTTGGTTTGCACAGGTTTGTTAGATGTCTCTCCAATTCTGCTTTTGCTAGTCAATATTTTAACACTGGACAGCTCTACCAAATGTACAGTACATGTTTTCATAGGACCACCACCACCTTTGGAGCCAAACTGAAAATGTGTGAACTGTGAAGTGAACCCTTAAAATGTGACTTATCATATGTATATATATGTGTATATATATACACTACGTATATATTTATAGAGAGATCTAGAGAGAGAGAGAGAGAGAGAGGTGGAAGTATTTGAAATCCTTATATTGATGTGATGGTACGAGGGAAGGAAAAAACAAAGATACGATGAAACCCACTTGTAAGTTCAAAACCGCCAGATACGAAATGTCACACACACTACATTACCTTTTTAAGCAGTGTGTCGCGCACTACATAAGTGTCCCCTCCTTTTCACACACATTGAAATTGACCAGGTCGTTGACAAGCACAATATACATACATACACACACACATATATATATATAGAAATGTCACACACACTACATTACTTTTTGAAACAGTGTGTCGCGCACTACATAAGTGTCCCCTCCTTTTCACACACATTGAAATTGACCATGTCGTTGACAAGATACATACATATATATATATATATATAAAAGACGTCCCAATTATGTTTCCCGCAATATCATGTAACTAAAAAACACACGATGGAAATATGTATTTCCCTTATAATTAAATTAATAGTGTCTATATATATATATATATATATATATATATTCATTTTACTTGCTTTTGGTACAGTGCAGCACAACCCTTAGGTTTTGGACTTAAATTATTATTATTATTTTTAATTAGTACTCACATACATGTTCTATACTAAGATTCGAATTTTAACATTTCTTTAAAAAGTAAAAGTTTTGTACAGTTAAGTCACTTGTTTTATTGATTTTTTTACTTCAATTATAGATAAAATTGAAGATCAATGAAAGTGGAACCGTAAAATGATGGGATTTTTATATATTGGCAAAATTTAAACTTTAAAATAATGATAGGTGTAAATGAGTGATACTATAAAAAGAATCATGTGCGTTCCTTGATAAAAATTTGTTAAATATGAGAATTTTAAATAAATTATTTAATAATTCTTTTAATTTCACAATTAAATAAGAAGAGTTCGTCATTATCTTGTCATAATAAGACTCTCTTGATGGCATTAGCATTCACTATTCAATACGATTACATCATTTTTATTTATATTTATATTTATATTTATACTGTAATAGGTAAATCACAAGTTGTAATTCATTATTAATTGAAAACTAAACATCAATTTCCTAATCTGGAATGAGGAGATACTCTTTGGGCTTGGACTAATCATTATCAAAATCTTATGGGCCCACATTGTGAAATTAAAAGGCATGGAATTGATGAATATTTAGTATTACCACAATTCAATGATTGCTATAAATGCTAATAACATTCAAATTCCCAAACTTCATTCTCTATGAAGAGTCTCAAGACTATCGTTATAGTTTAACTTCAATTACCAACTACTGTACTATCATTTTCAATTATCAAAGTTGTTAACACGTAAATACATATTATTTTTTAACAAACACAAGAAACAAAATTGAAAGCTTTCAATTGTGTTAGTAAGGAAATGTTACTTTTTAACACGAGAAAATTGCATAGAACTCCCCTTCTACTTCTAATTTTTAGCAAGAAATTGCTTCAAGAAAAAAGTTGACATAAAACCCCCTTAAGTACCTAATTTATTGCAAATTGATGTTATAATGATGCAATTGCAATTTGATTTAATTGATGTTATAATGATGCAATTGCAATTTGATTTAAATTTACAAAATAATTTTACTTTAAATTTTTCTTTTTTAAATTTTAAAAAATACACACCATTAAAGTGAAGTTATAATACGAAAATTTCCATTTAATATATTTAAGAAAAATTAGATTGTTTTAAAATGATTTTCTTTTTAGGTTTTCTTTTTCTTTCTATTTTTTTTTTTAAATTAAGAAAATTTTAAAAAATATTTCAGGGTATTTTCATTTTTTTGTAGACGCACCACTAAAAAAGGTTTCGAAATTTTTTTAACACCACTATGTCGAATGGGTTATTGTATTAATTTTAATTTTATATTAAGAGAATCCAATTTCTTAAATTTATGTTATTTGGTTATTGTAAAATATTTAAGAAGAAAAAAATTATTAAAATTTGACAAAAAAAACTTTGCATTAATTTTCGAGAAGTTATTTTATACGCTTCACCCGATGGATTCGATCTCAACCTCGACTCAGGTTTTTGCAAAATACTAAAATATAAAATTAAAAGAAAATATTTTACCTAAAAAAAAATATATATATATTTTACATCTAAACAAACCGAAGTCGAAAGAATTGTGTTTGGTAGTTTTCTTTTTAATTTTTATTTTTTAAGTTAGGTTTATTTTTAGTGATGTAAACAAATAAAGACATTGCTTAATGAATAATAGGTATCTGTAAACGGAGATTTGTCAACGGAG